GCCAGGGCTAACGTTAGCCCGTCTGCGGCAGCCAGGGCTAACGTTAGCCCGTCTGCATCGACCAGGGCTACGACGTCTGCAGCACCCCCCCCTCTCTGCATTGCCGTGTGTGAAGGACCGCTGGCTCTGATGGAGGTTTGATTGTTTTATTTATTTAAAACATTCATTATTATTCCTCCATTGAATGAAAAAGTCATAATTTATTATTATCTAGAGACTATTAATAACAGGAGGTGAAATGCGGCTCCAGACTAGCTTTGAATGTGGTGATGTCATCAGTACGCTTCTGTTCCAGTTGACCCAGATTTATTCTGCTCCCGTTCTCCCCGTGTCCAGACTTTACTGGGTTCTAGTCTAGAAAGAACTTGGAGAGAACACGAGTCTGTACTCGCGTTCTAGTGAATTGATAAAAGGGCAAACTTTAAGGCATTTGTGCGTTTGGTTGTCACAGCGATCCATATTATAGCTAAAAATGATCTCATGTCTCTCTTATGAAATTTCCACCTCCAGTCAAAAACACATATTCCCATAATCAGGACTAAATTAGTGATGGAAAAAAGAAAAATAGCTGCATTCCACCTTAAAAATCAGGAAATGTTGTTTCAGAGAGTTTAAATCCCCCCCCGACACCTGGCCTGGCCTAAAGATGTGAAACACCAAGATGTACACCCTATAAAATAATCCTGGCCTAAAGCCCGGTTCAGCTCATAATGTAGCAACAAATGCTAAAGCCCTAAACGAAATCCTCTGCAGACGGACTTTCTGGCAATTTTTCAGATTATTTTATTTCACAAAGACTGAAATGAAAAGTATCTTAAAACAGAAGCTTTAAAAACATCAAGCAGTGAATGTTTTAAACAGGAGCAGAGAGAGAAGACAGGAGGAGGAGGTCCAGGAGGTTAACAAGGCATGCTGGGAGCAATGTGTCACGCCTGACATGACAGCCTTGACCTTGGAGCACGCCAACACACCCCCACCCTCCCACTTATCCTGGTTCCCTCCCCCTCCATCCTCGGCCCCTTTTTTACTCTGACGAACTGATGCTGCAGCGACTCCACCCTCCATCTGTTTGTTCTCCTGAAATGCTGCTGGAAACGGATCCAGGCAGCTGCTAACAGGGAAAATGATGCTCCGATCAGATGAAGCAAAACTTCAACTATTGGGTTGATTTGTGAGATGCTGGGATTGGTGGCAATCTGGTCAGACTTGATGCAAGATGGAAGACCTGAGGCTGAGGTACAGCTTACAGCAGGAAAACCGTCCTGAGCAGAACAGATTAATTAGCTAGAATGGCCTAGTCAAAGCCCAGACCAACATACCTGGTAGTACTTGCTGTTCACAGGCAGTAGTGGCTGGTGGAGTTCACTCTAGGGGGCGCTATAACTTAAAAATGGACGTTTACCAAAAGACCAGTTGCTAGGGGGGAACCTGTCAGACAGGAAGTCAGGAACACGCAGCTGGGAGAGCTTCTCCTGCAGCAGAGCTGGGATGATTGGATCGAAGGCAGAGCTGAAATCCACAAACAGGATCCTGCTGTAGCTGGAATCCAGGTGCTGGAGAATGTAGAGAAGGACCAAGGTGACGGGATCACCTGCTGAGGTCCAGGAGGGGTCAGTGATCTATTTCAGGTGTGAAAACATGAAGCTCTCAAAGGAGCTCATAACCACAGAGGTCAGGATGACAGGTCTAAAGTCATTAAAGTCGTAGGGAAGTCATGTTTAAATGTCAAATCATTTTAGCTTAAAATGATTATAAATTTACTCTTTATCAGACCATATTGTCCCAAAAGTTAGAAAATTTCTATGTAAAATGTCTTAAAATCAGTTTTTTTCCGTTATCTTCTGCAGGCCAGTTAGTTCTACGTCAGCCTGAACACCGAAATTCGGCCAATCAT